ACAGGATCAGGTTGTCAGGCTCGCTGATGTGGTTGATGCATGTCATCGATCCCAATTGTGTGGATCAATGTTCTTGATGTCAATTACTTGATTGTCTGGTCCAGACTCGATTATTTACAGACTGCTGTCATATAGCTGGAATATTGCTGAGTGCGGCGTAAAACAACAAACCAACCAATCATTAAGTCACACACTAAGTGTAATTTGACATTGCAGCCCCTACGTATCATTATCCCCCGCCGCGCGAAAGCGCCAAGCGGGGGATATAGTATTCACGACCGTCCGTCCGTCCGTCCCACCTGTTTGTTGCCGCGATATCTCAAGAACTAAACACTGGATTGTCTTCATATTTGGAACTATGGTGTATATACAGACTCCGCAGACACCAGTCAGTTTTGGTGACCTTGACCCCATTTTAAAGGTCACAGCAGGCATATCTGCTTTTGGAGTTGGAAAACAGTGTTGCCGCGATATCTCAAGAACTAAACACTGGATTGTCTTCATATTTGGAACTATAGTGTATATACAGACTCCGCAGACACCAGTCGGTTTTGGTGACCTTGATCCCATTTTCAAGGTCACAGCAGACAAATCTGCTTTTAGAGTTGGAAAACGGTGTTGCCGCGATATCTCAAGAACTAAACACTGGATTGTCTTCATATTTGGAACTATGGTGTATATACAGACACCGCAGACACCAGTCGGTTTTGGTGACCTTGATCCCATTTTCAAGGTCACAGCAGGCAAATCTGCTTTTGGAGTTAGAAAACGGTGTTGCCGCGATATCTCAAGAACTAATCGCTGGATTGTCTTCATATTTGGAACTATAGTGTATATACAGACACCGCATACACCTGTCAGATTTGGTGACCTTGACCCCATTTTCAAGGTCACAGCAGGCAAATCTGTTTTTGGAGTTGGAAAACGGTGTTGCCACAATATCTCAAGAACTAATCGCTGGATTGTCTTCATATTTGGTACTATGGTGTATATGGCGGGGGATATTTCGTCACTCTGTGACAAATACTTGTATGTCTTTATAACTTGTACAGTGTGTCTAGTTCATGATGTGGCAGCGTTAGAAATTGGCACTAGTCCTGTAGTCCTTGCCGAACTGGCCAATAGTTAAGGTATAAAAGGACCAGTAGAAATTTCTCCTTTTTAAGTGTTTTGCTATATGTTATCATTATGGTTGGTTGATTGGTTTGTTGTTTAACGCCACACTCAGCAATATTCCAGCTATATGACGGCGGTCTGTAAATAATCGTGTCTGGACCAGACAATCCAGTGATTAATATCATGAGCATCGATCCACGCAATTAGGATCGATGACATGCATCAACCAAGTCAGCGAGCCTGACCACCCGATCCCGTTTGATCGCCTTTTACGACAAGCATAGTCGCCTTTTACGGCAAGCATGGGTTGCTGAAGACCTATTCTACCCCGGAATTTTCACGGGTCTGTTATCATTATAAGGAGTAGTGGACTAAAACTGTACCTCTATTGTTGTGTGGTGTTCAATTCCCTACATGGGTAGAATATGTGAAGCTAATTTCCAGTGTTCTCAGGCGTGATATTGCTGGAATATTGCTTAGAGCGGTATAACACCTCACTCACTCACTCAGTTAAGACCCCTGAAGATACGTCTTAGAATAGGTCTTTAGTAACCCATGCAACAAGCTTGTTGTAAGAGGCGACTAACGGGATCGGGTGGTCAGCCTAGCTGACTTGGTTGATGCATGACATCATCTCCCTATTGTGCAGATCGATGCTGATGATGTCAATCACTTGATATCTGGTCCGGACTGGCAAGATGGGGTATATGTGTAATATATCATGTCACGTGATACATTGTATTTGTACCTTGTAACACAAACATATATATCACACGGGGTGTTTTTCTACCAAATGGTACAATCACTACACTACATGAACTGATTGTGGAAATGGTGCCACAATGTGGGAATTTAGCCCTGTTGTGATTTTCACATAGTACAATGTAGTAGGTTATCTGGTCTATTTTCAGTCCTGCCATGCGAGTCTCTGGTTTGGGATTGTCTTCTGACATGCGATAAGCTTCATATATCATGTTCAAACCAGATAAGAACATGTTAAAAACATGTTGCATTTGGTGTTAAAATTATATTTTGCTATTACTCCAACCTTCAAAATTCGAGCTAGACTACTATAAGCAGATAAGGGTTACGCTATTTTTTTAGGGCATTATCCAGGGTTAGAATCTAACAGTTTTTGTCCACTAGTCCTTATAACGATAACATATAGCAAAACCCTTAAAATGGGCCAATTTCTACTAGTCCTTAGGATACCTTTACTATTAGGCATTTTGGTAAGGACTACAGGACTAGTGCCAATTTCTAACGCTGATTATCATTCGCAGAAGCCCGAGGTCTTCCATTAACTGCCGGACAAAGGAGGGCAGTTGAAAAGACCGAGGGCTTCTGCAAATGATAATGCCCTGAAAAAGAGTGTTACCGTTATTATAGCTAAAATGGATGGAATTTGTTATCAAAAAAAAAGAAACAACAATATCTGTTTTGAAACATTTACTGCAATCAACACGAATGTCACTGACCCACTTTTACAAATATGGAAGCCAGACCTGTCAACCCCTCATCATGACAATGGGGGAGATTTGACTTCAAAATGGGGGAGATTTGCCTCCAAAGGGGGAGATTTTTAAGATAGTGAAGATAAGATAATTTCCAACTTTTATTATTGTTACAAAGAAAACCAAATATTTTGAAACAATAAATAATCAATAAGTTTCTTATACATACAGCTTGCTTAATTTCCGTTTGCATTTTCCTCCTTCAAAAATAAACCCAGCACAATCTACCCATATAACTTTCGTTCAAAGATCATCTCAGATAAACGCAAACAGATATTGAAATTTCACAATCGGTAGCTTGACCAGTTGACGACGTGTTCAATCCGACCAGTTGTCAGGCTTCGTTACGATGCAGGTTTTCTGAGTATTTGGCGCGATGTTGGTTACAAAATTCGCCAAAGAAATATCAAATGCATTTATCCTTATCGAAACGTCGTAGAACAAACTAGATGACGTCACTATTGAACATGACGTCACCTATCCCTACCCCATGACATCACCTAAGAAAGGGCGTGATAATGGCCCGTCGTCAAGCAATATGAGGGCATTATCAAGTTACAGTGGCCCGCTCATTTCTGATAACGTGCGGGCGGTTTTATGATAATTCTATCCATTTTAGCTATAATAGAAAATAATGTTAGACCTCATTGACAAGTAGTACAGAGCTACAGATAAGCAGCATATTTACGTAAAATACCCACCCAAAATATTCAAAACCCAATTACTTTCAAATAACTTGGGTAAATAAATAACTAAAATGTATAAAAACAGCACGTGTTAATACCCAATGAATGTTTTTCAGCATGCATACAAAGGAACTAATTTCTGAAACACAATAACAAGCTAATTTACTTTCGGAATTAAGCCTAAATATTGAGAAATAGCATACACCCATAACTGCTCTTGATGCGCTGTGGGTACAATGAATATTATTGAACGTCCCTCAGAATGCACTATATTTTTTTCTGCATCCAATCTGTACATGTTTGCGTACTGGACACACATTTGTGGGTCGCAAAAAACCCTGTTTTTGTCTTGTTCAAGCAGGACTAGCTACAAACTCAGAGGATGAAGGAAATAAGGTTTACTAACCATTTAATGAATTTCTGAGACTGTTTATGAAAATATATACTGTTTGGAAAATCTCAATTCTGAAAAGAGAGATCCCTCCTCCCCCCCCCCCCACCCCCCCCCCCCCCCCTCCCCCAGTCTGCCTGGAAGAAGGATGCTAGTAAGTGTCAAAGACTTTACTATTCTTATTTGTGGACGACACATTATTTTTGATCCTTGGATTTGTCATGTATGTCGGCGCCATACCGTAACCATGGTAACACCTTTGATTTGAGGTTTGAGCAGTGGGGTCATTTCCAGGATTTGTCCCACATTAGTGTGTGAGTGAGTGAGTATGGTTTTACACCGCTTTTAGCAATATTCCAGCAATATCACGGCGGGGAACACCAGAAATGGGCTTTACACATTGTACCCAAGTCAGGAATCGAACCCGGGTCTTCGGCGTGATGAGCGAACACATGTGATGTACTCATAAACACAGATACATAAAATATCCACAACAATATAATTGTGCAGCCTTTGTTATTTCCATTCGGAACTGCCAGATTGTGTTCGTTTTGGGGATACAGAAATCAGATATTCTGCTCTAAATGCTTTGCTTGCTTGTACTAAGAATTTAGATTGGCTGAATAGAGATTTTACCTTCTATGGAGGGGATGTTACATTTGCATGCAGAGAGGCATCATTCCGAGTAGAATATTATATTTTTATCACTCAGGGATAAAACTTGAATGGGGCTTGACTGTTCTTGTAGGTTGTTCATTTTGCAGTTTTGTTGAAGCCAGATCATTTAGTCTGCATGAAGAGCAGACAAACCCTCTAAGAGAGGTCGAACAAGATGAACCTTCACTGCCCAATCTAACTCTTGTTTCTTAAACTAATCACATGTCAGCTTTCTAAAAGGATTCACCTTCATTTCTTAACCACTTTGATTTGGAATTACTGATCTTAAGAAAAGAAATCCGACAAAGCACAAATATTCCTTTGATAGTACGCCTTTTTGGGAGTAGAAGCCACAGCACTCATAAACACAGATACATAAAATATCCACAAGAATATAAAAGTGCAGCCTTTGTTATTTCCATTCGGAACTGCCAGTTTGTGTTCATTTTGGGGATACAAAAATCAGATATTCTGCTCTAAATGCTTTGCTTGCTTGTACTAAGAATTTAGAAGCCTTGACACTGATTGGCTGAATAGAGATTTTACCTTCTACGGAGGGGATGTTACATTGGCATGCAGAGTAGAATATTATATTTTTATCACTCCGGGAATAAAACTTGGACTTGACTGTTGTAGGTTGCAAGTGCTCTATCTGGGGGGCAACCAGCTGGCAGACATCCCGGCCGAGATTGGCTACATGCATAGCCTCACTGCACTGGTTCTCTGTGACAACCAGCTGCAGAGTTTGCCTCCAACGATGATCCATCTACGGCGTCTGCAGTCCCTGACGCTGCACAACAACCAGCTGTCGACGCTGCCCACGGAGATCGTCTCTCTCAACCTGGTGGAGCTGAGTCTGAGGAACAATCCCCTCGTGAAGCGCTTCGTCCAGGACCTGGTGTACAACCCACCCACCTTGTTAGAACTGTCTGGACGCTGTGTCAAAATTGAGAAAGTGAACTACACTCGTCTTGATCTTCCAGAGAACCTCATTCGCTACCTGGACTCCGCACAGCGCTGTGTCAACCCCAAGTGCAAAGGTAGGTGCAACAGCTGTCTTAGCTCCACACAGTGCGCCGCCTTCGTGGTCTTGTGGTAGAGCGTCCGCCCGGAGAGCGGAAGGTCCGGGGTTCGATCCCCGGCCGCGTCATACCAAAAGACGTTAAAAGATGGTACTTGTTGTTACCCTGTCTGGCGCTCGACATTAAGGGGCTAAAACAAGGACTGGTCGGCTCGGTGTCAGTATACTGTGTCTGAGTGGGGTATTCATGTTAAACTGCGGCATGGTATCTCAGTGAGCTAGCACTATAAATCGGCATCAGTCCAAACTAGTACAAGCAGCCACACACACACGTCCATGCACGTCGCTATATAAGTGCAATAATCTTGGACGCGACGTTAAACCCAATTTCACCTCACCTCACCTCCACACAGTGCAGTTAGGAACATCTCTCAGCGGTAGAAACTGACATTTTTAGGCCAATACCCTTATCATAATAACATATAGCAAAACCCTTCCAATTGGCAAATTTCTACTTGTCCTTATGATACCTTAACTATTGAGCAGTTTGGCAAGAACTATAGGACTAATGCCAATTTCTAACACTGTCTCATTTGTTTATAACTCTTTTACATGTCTGCTGAACCTTTAAATTGAAAAGTTGTAAAAAATACTGAAACACTAAATGCTGACAAAGATTTTCCCTGTTACCATGGTTACGGCCAGGCTTTTTTTATTTTTAGGATTATGGATTGTTCAGCTCAAAGTCCAGGGTTGGAGGAGGGGAAAAAAAAGCCAGATGCATTTTTTTATTCAGAATGCCTCTGGCATACTTTATGAACATATTTTGTGCTCAAAAGGCCGCCATTTGTGACGATAAAGCCCCCTCTAACAATAAAAATTCTACCACTTACAACATGGACAATTGTCGAGGGAGGCTCTACATGTTTAGCTTCGAGATCAACAAAGATCGATTATGTATCTCTTCACTAGTTTACAACGGTAAATTCATTTGTTTTTGTATTAAAAGGTGTTGATCATGTTGATAACAAATAAAATAACTGACTATGTGGCTATTGGCAGGGGGGGGGGAAATGCAAATCTGATATATATTTTTTACATTTTCTAATAAATTAGAGTCGGCAGTTCCGTAATCCCAAAAATATAAAAGGCCTGGCCTAACTATGGTTGTCGTAAGAGGCGACTGAATGAATAGAGCGGTGGAATTAATGACCTGGTTGATAGGTGTTACCACTTTGGTGCTTTCCTCCAACATTAAGGTGTTTGTTTGATGGATATTGGATCAGCTTGTAGGGATCTCATTGGTGTGTTGACATGTTCTGTTGGCAGGTGTGTTGACGTGTTGTGTTCTGTTGTCAGGTGTGTACTTCACCTCACGAGTGGAGCACATCAAGTTTGTGGACTTCTGTGGCAAGTACCGCCTCCCCCTACTCCAGTACCTATGTTCACCATCCTGCACCACCCTCAAGCCCACTGTGTGCGGCACCAGCAGCGACAGCGACTCCGACGTCGACGACGCCAGGCACAGGATGAGGAGAGTCCTGCTAGGATAGTCACATTCTCTGGGACTGGCTTCAAAAGTTGTGAAACTGTTTCTGAAGTTGACTTTAAGTCATTCTGCTTGCTGCTAGTTACATTTGCTGCTTGTGACTAGAAACCTTGACCTTGGTCTAACTTGGTGCTGTGACCTTGACTTTAAGTTGACCTCAGTCAATCGTTGTGCTGTGAATTGGACTGTCAGATGGCCTCAGACAATCGTGCTGTGAATTGGACTGTCAGATGACCTTAGTCAATCATTCTGCTGTGAATTGGACTGTTAGATGACCTCAGTCAATCGTTGTGCTGTGACCTTGACTGTAAGTTGACCCCAGTCAAGCGGTGAGGTCAACTGACTCTGACCTCATTAATCTGCTGCTTAATACCCTCTTGGTTATGCTGCATTCAATGGTGGTGACTTCCATGCGTATCTGGCCAGTAGATGTGCGCCACAGAGCAACCTCTTCTGTTACACTTGCTTACATACGACTGAGTCCTCAAGGTGACACAAGGCCCTGCAGCAAGATGTCGGCCAGAAGAAGGCCAGTGATCCCGTCTTCCATTTCATCTTCTATGACAAGCCGCGCCCTAATGCAGCAAGCAACAGGAAGCCATGGGTATATTCAGACTCCTTGACTACAGCCTTGTGGTTCATCAGTGAGCCTAATTGAGTCACCTGTGTTTGTAGGAGTGTTCCACAGGTGGACCTACAGTGGATTAAATTATTTCCAGGTCTGAAAAGACCCAAATGAAGTTCCCTGGCTGAGCAGTATGTGTGCCGTCATATATATGTATAATCTGACTACTTACTTTTGAAGGCACTGAGTAATTTGATAAAACTTTGATCAAGATTTAAATTTATATTCTGGTTTGATGTGCATCGCCTGAACATACTGAAGGTACAAATGATGCTTTGACCTTGACCTATGATTGACAATATAACCCACAATATGCAAAGTGCTAATATTGTTGAGTTTGTGTATCTTGTCTTGGTGTGTGTGCGTGCTGTTTCATTGATATTCTACTCAAAAGAAGTTCGAGAACTCGAGTAATATGAAAGAATCGGGTGTTCTGTAACTTCTTTTGAGAAGTACGTGTATATTTATGTTAGCATGTTTTCTTGGTCTGAAGTGATGCACAAAGGTTCCGATATCTTGATTTCATATCATGATGCTTTAATTTGGAATTAATATGCATGCATATTTCTAAACTAAACCAAAGCTAATGTTTATTCAAGTTTATGAAATAATGTTATAAGTGAAAGATTTAGGGGTCGTGAGAGATGACTTCACTCACCCCAGGACACCTCTGTATTTAGGACACTGAGGGAGTCAGGTATGTAATCGTTGAGTTTGATATCCTCGTGCATCACTGAGGGAGTCAGGTATGTAATCGTTGAGTTCGGTATCCTTGTGCATCACTGAAAGGTTTAATGTTTTGTACTAATACATAGTTGGGGCATTGACCTATTTACTCAGGACAACACAACACAGTATTTGTACAGTGAGCGAGAGATCTGTGATTTAGTATTATACAAGGCATTATGTTACAATTACCGTATTTCACGTAATAAGCGCCCAGGGTGCTCTCAAATTAGAAATAGGGGGCTCTTATTAGAATATTATTTTGATGAAAAAAAAACGAGTTGAAAGATAAATTTCGTGGTTTATGCTGACAGCCTGAAATGTTTATATACAACAGATACATTTTTCCAGAATTTAATTGCCCGTAATTAAGGGTGCAAGTAACACACGAGTGCGTATTATACGCGAATAAATAAGTCTTGTGTATATTGATCAATCAGAAGGGGTGCTAATTGGGATTGTTCACTAGCCAATATATTAGCGAATATCACCGTGGGTGCTTATTAGAGCTGGGCGCTTATTACGTCGAATACGGTATCTCCGATTGACATGACAGACATATATTTGATGTTGACCTTTAAAAATAACATGTTCTAAAAGGCGGTAGTGTAGCCTAGTGGTTAAAGCGTTCGCTCGTCACGCCGAAGACCCGGGTTCGATTCCCGACATGGGTACAATGTGTGAAGCCCATTTCTGGTGTCCCCCTGCCGTGATATTGTTGGAATATTTCTAAAAGCGGCGTAAAATCATACTCATTCCCACACTTAAAGAGTACAATTTGTGAGCTTTATCCTTGGGTCATTCTCAGAATTTATGCTGAATCTGTTCCAATAGCCATTGTAATCCTGTTTAAGAATCCATTGTATTTGTAATCTGTTATGTAATGTGAAGGTTTGGAGAAGGTTAAGTAAAACCGTTACATTGAGCTGTAATAGACATACCAACCAAAGCTGTTGCCATTTGTTTTGAATTCATGAGAGCATTTTGACCTTCGTGCAGCATTTGACGACTGACATGTATACCCTCTGAAGGTCACTGGCATGAAGGTCATGGTGACCTCTGTGCAAGAGATGACTGCATATTTTTTTCTATCTAAAGAAAGACTTACTGTTTTCCTTCAGACAGGTCAATCTAAATTTAAAGTTACACAATGGTTACTCAGATCAGATGTGAAGATTCAAGATTGTATTTTTACATGTGCTGATCTTGACAATAATATACAATCTTGACAATAATATTTTTATACAAAATATGTTTCACAAATAATGTTTTTTAACTGATGCCATGATTGCAGAAGTTTTGTTACTGTATTATTACCAAAGGGCATGTGAATATATTTTGAAGAAAGCACTGCCTGCTGTTGTGGATATTTTTTATACCCTGATCGTTTGAAGATTATGAGTGCCATATTATTGTGACTATTTAGATAGGTGAGATATTTGTATCCGTGGATTCTGACGATTGCCATGGTACAATGTAGCAGTGACAAACCTGTCCAGAGGTACAGATAAGCAGCGTATTTGCGTAAAAAATCCCCCCCCCCCCCCCCCAAATATTCAAAACCCAATTACTTTCAATTAAGTTGCTAGAGAAATGCATGCATTAAATGAAAAACTCAAATGTATAAAAACAGCACACGTAAATACGCAATGAAGCTTTTTCAGCATGTTTACACAGGAGCTAATTTCCGAAATACAATTACGAGATAATTTACTTTCCGAGTCAAGCCTATATATTTAGAACAGTTATAAAAACTAAAACTTGTTTACATTTTTTAAAAATCTGAAAATGTTCTCTCATATTTGGATAAACACGATAGAGTGATGAATAGCTGAGTGCAAAAATATTGGATACACAATGAAAAGTGTAATAACCCAGTTAATAGAAACCCTAGAGTAAAAACTGAATTGCTCCAAACGTTGCCTGGACCTCTAGGTTCACAGCTATATTGTATGTTGCGAGTAGTGTTTCCTTACCAGATAAGGGTCAGTAGATTCATTCTTTATTATCATTATGAATCTTAAATATACTTTGCCATGATGATGAAATTGTGGTTGGTTGGATTACAGAAAATATGTTGATTTTTTTTGTTCGATTTATTGAACTGAAATTTTTATTTCGTCTTTTCTAATGACATTCACTATTTGAATCGCTGAATTGTTGATCGGTATGTAATTTTCCTTTTGGGAATTTATGAAAGTACGACTATGGATAACTTAATCAATCCTGTTGAAATCTTGACAGTTGCATTTGTTGTGCCTGACGTCATGGTAACCTTGTGTAGTATTGAAGGTTTGTAGAAAATGTCATTTTCTTCAGAGTACAGGATAAGATGTGTATATTTTCTGCCCAAGAAAGATATCTATTATGTGATAGTGGCAGTTCCTTGTTCAAAAGAGAGGCAAATAGGCTTAGCAATGTTGAGGTTGGTTTCACATTCCATGCTGAGTTGTCTCCCTTTGTAAGTTACCTTTTTCTTCACAGTGACAGGCACGGCCAATAGTCTAGTCTGTTGCCTGAAGACTAATGAGGGTTTAGTCTTGTACCTAAATGTACCTTTTGTACATGAACCACTAGTCTGACATGAACTTACTGCAGACTAGCTTGCTGACAGGGTTTACCTCTGAAAGTCTGTGGTACAAGTCTCAGGATGGGCATATTTATGACATTTGAGTGAGTGAGTGAGTTGGGTTTAACGCCGCTTTTAACAGTATTCCAGTTATATCGCGGTGTCAGCTTAATGTGGGAGGAAAGCCCGAAGAGATGCAAGTCTCTGACGTTTACCACTTCGGTGAAACCCACGAGCACGGGTATGGTGCTAGAAACATAATCGGGGCGAACCGGGATTCGAACCCACAATCATAGGTTTCTGGCGTGCCCAAGGGACGCAACTCTGCACAGCGAATCGCGGCGCCTTAGACGACTGGGCAACCCGTGCCCCCTATGACATTTGAGATTTTAGTGGTATTATATGGGCTATCTGAGCTTACAAGGCCAAACAGAATTTTACAAGACACAGGGTTTAGACATTTGTGCAACTAGCCTATTTCTCCATCTCTCCCCCCCCCCCCCCCCCCCCCAAATGACTGGTCCCTAACATTCAAGAATCTTTAACTGTTTTGAGTAGTCTATAATAAGTCTCGGTATGGGCTTTTAGTAACCGAACAACAAAGTTTCAATGTTTTCTATTATGTGTTAAACTTTGACGAGATGTTCTTTGTGACCAGCTACAGATTCGCTAGAAACGTCGAGGCTTGAAGTAACATAATTGGCAAACAACAAGTATTTTGATTCTGCAAAAGCATGTTTGCAGTTGGGCATTATGGTCAGAGTTGTCTCCCTTTGCTTCGTGATCATGATGGCTGCAGGTGTGAGAATGATGCATCTAGTCAAAGTTGAATTAATATTCTAAATGGTTCTGCTTGTTTAGTTTATTCAGCAAAGATCTGAATTGTTACTGCTACTTAGTTTGTTTTCCTCTCAAGGTGCCATCTCCACAGTAGACCCAGATCAATGCTGTATTTGAATACCATATTCCACGTAATAAGCGCCCCGCTCTAATAAGCGCCCACGGCGATATTTGCTAATATATTGACTAGTGAACAATTCCAATTCCTTCCGATTGATCAATGTACACAAGACTTATTTATTCGTGTATTATACGCACTCGTGTGTAATATGCACCCTTAGTTATGGGCAATTAAATTCTGGAAAACTATATCTGCTGTGTATAACACACACAGACTTTTCTTTTGTATCATTCAGGCTGCCAGCATAAACCACGAAATTTACGATCTTTCAACTCTGTGTTTTTCACCAAAATAATATTTTAATACGAGGCCTCTATTTCTAATTTTGAGAGCGCCCTGGGCGCTTATTATGTCGAATACGGTAATACATTTGTTCTTTGAAAGGCATTCAGAAGTGATACACTTAAGGAAGAGAAAATATGGATGTCAACTTCTTTATTATGAGGAACAACGTTTTGGAGTACATGCTTACTCCTTCAGGTGAAAGGGGCGGTCGGGTAGCCTAGTGGTTAAAGCGTTCGCTCGTCACGCCGAAGACCCGGGTTCGATTCCCGACATGGGTACAATGTGTGAAGCCCATTTCTGGTGTCCCCCGCCATGATATCGCTGGAATATTGCTAAAAGCGGCGTAAAACCAAACTCACTCACTCACTCCTTCAGGTGAAAAAAAATGAAATAAAAAAAAAAATAATAATCATAATAAAGAAGTTGACTTCCATATATTCTCTTCCTTAATACATTTGTTGGTTTTATTTTGAAATAATTGTTACTGGAGAACCTCCAAGAGTTTTGTTGTTTTAGCGCAAGATTTAATGACTTCCGTGAATATACAACTCAGGATCACTAAGTCAAATCCATGTTAAGAGAAGGTGTATTTGCTGAAGAGCTAGTTTGCTTTTGTTGGGATGTTGTGGATTACCTCAGTGTCACTATTGTGATACATGCCTTTACAATATATGCATAAATCATTTAGTCACCCATGGTCTGTTGATTATTACAGTTACAGTAATGTTCTATTTGTATGATGGCGGCCTGTCAATAATCAAGTTTGGATCAGACAATCCAGTGGTTGATATCATGAATGACCAATGCTGTGAAGGTCATCTCCCCAGGTAGGAGGGGCGGTCGGGTAGCCTAGTGGTTAAAGCGTTCGCTTGTCACGCTGAAGATCTTGGTTCGATTTTTGTTTGTTTGTTTGTTGTTTTACGCCGCACTCAGCAATATTCCAGCTTTATGACGGCGGTCTGTATATAATCGAGTCTGAACCAGACAATCCAGTGATTGATATCATGAGCATCGATCCACGCAATTGGGATCGATGACCTGCATCAACCAAATCTGGGTTCGATTCCCCACATGGGTACAGTGTGTGAAGCCCACGATATTGCTGGGATTTTGCAATACTTACTCCTGGGGTAGGGTGACGTTCCATGTGACCGCCTCTTCAGAATGGGGGGACAAACTCAAGCTGGACTCCCCACTGAGGGTTTCATGCTGTCAACCACCGGTGCACCTGACCCCGACCATGACTTTTCTAGTGAAAAATGGCAGTCATGACTTATGTCAGTATTTTGTGGAACATTTTTTCAATGTTGTTACCTAGTTTGAAAAGCAAAATGTGTTTTTTGCAAGAATGTCAAAGACAATAAATGATTCAGGTCTATACAACTCAAGAAGATAAAGACCAGTGCAATCATTTATATCATCTATCGTATTCGACGTGATAAGCGCCCAGGGTGCTCTCAAAATTAGGAATAGGGGGCTCTTATTAGAATATTATTTTGTTGAAAGTTGAAAGATGAATTTCGTGGGTTATGCTGACAGCCGGAAATGTTTATATACGACAGATATATTTTTCCAGAATTTAATTGCCCATAATTAAGGGTGCATGTGTATTATACGCGAATAAATTAGTCTTGTGTACATTGATCAATGGGAAGGGGTGCTAATTGGGATTGTTCACTAGCTAATATATCAGCAAATATCGCCGTGGGCGCTTATTTGAGCGGGGCGCTTATTACGTTGAATACGGTTTATGGGGACGGTCGGGTAGCCTAGTGGTTAAAGTGTTTGCTCGACACGCCGAAGACCCGGGTTCAATTCCCGACATGGGAACAATGTGTGAAGCCCATTTCTGGTGTGCCCCGCCGTGATATTGCTGGAATATTGCTAAAAGCGGTGTAAAACCATACTCTCATCTATACTACTCACAAGAAGTGATTCTTTCATATTACTATAGTTTAACGGTCATGAAAGATGATCCTTCACTTCTTGTGAGGAGTATAGATGTAAATGATTGCAGTGATTAATTTCTTTTGAAGTATTCATATTATATTTTTTGTATTACCACAGTTTATCTGTCTTGTCATAACGATTAACTTTTGTAATGTGAAATAATCGGGTGATTTTTCACTTCTATTGATTGGTATATACCTGTGTCATATTAGCCTCCGAGATTTCACTGTGCCCATTGAACTAACAAAGCTTGCATTGTTGATGACTTATACAGTCAAATCCCATCTTCCCGAGGCAAGAGAGTTAACTGACTTTAAAAGTCCAGTTTCCACCCTTGCCGAACTAGGCTGGAATTCCTGGGCTCGATTGTAGCACCACCAGTGGCTATTACGAGTTATGTCCTTTCTATACCTCTCCTATTGACCAATCAGATTCAACCTCTCGTATCACATGCATTTGCTTCAAACAAAACGGTGGCGCCCAGTCAAGACGATCTAAACGATAATCAAGATCTATATTGTGATAAAACGAGTCTTACATCGCAAAGTGCATCAAATCACGTGAGCACCTTGATTAAAAACATGAAAAGATTTAGAAAATATCTGTTGACAACGAGTTAGCGGTGCACATGCTTTGCAAATCCTGCAGTCGACCGAAATCTGCATGAAACCGGATTTCGATTTCGGTGCGCGATTTTGATTGGACTATGCATAGACTCGTTAGTCCAGCCAAAATGTAACTCCATAATACCAGCCTAGTTCGGCAAGGGTGGAAACTGGACTTTTATAGTCAGTTAACTCCCTTGCCTCGGGAAGATGGTCAAATCCAAGCCGCTATGAGTATTTATGTATTTTACTTTCCATTGAAATTCCAGTTGAGTTGTTACTTGTCAAACAGTATTGTCAAGCAAAGGGAATTTTCCCGGGCAACATAACTGTCTTCTTCAAACCAAAGACTGTTGTTATGGTGATCCCAGAGGCCAGAGTACTGTATATTAAACATTTCAGGAAGCGTTTGCATGAAATATTCTACAATATGAATTGTTCATGTACAATCACATTTTCAATAATAAAAAGTAACCTTTTCCTCAATTAGTGTTTGCTCTTCTGTCCTCTGATCGGGTGAGGTGAAATAGGGTTTAATGTCACGTCCATGATTATTGCACTTATACAGAGACGTGCATGTGGGTGTGGCAGCTTGTACTACAAGCCCACTGAGATACCATGCCGCAGTTCAACATGACTCAGACACGGTGTACTGAACGGTCCTTGTTTTAGCCCCTTAATGCCGAGCGCCAGACAGGGTAACAACAAGTACGTGTGTGTGTTTGTGTGGCTGCTTGTACTAATCAGGACTGATGCTGATTTATAGTGCTAGCTCACTGAGATACCATGCCGCAGTTTAACATGAATACCCCACTCGGACACAGTATACTGACTCTGAGCCGACCAGTCCATGGTTTAGCCCCTTAATGCCGAGTGCCAGACAGGGTAACAACAAGTACGTGTGTGTGTTTGTGTGGCTGCTTGTACTAATCAGGACTGATGCTGATTTATAGTGCTAGCTCACTGAGATACCATGCCGCAGTTTAACATGAATACCCCACTCGGACACAGTATACTGACTCCGAGCCGACCAGTCCTTGTTTTAGCTCCTTAATGCCGAGCGCCAGACAGGGTAACAACAAGTACCATCTTTTAACGTCTTTTGGTATGACGGGCCAGGGATTGAAGCCTGGACCTTCCGCTCTCCGGGCGGACGCTCTACCACTAGACCGTGGAGGCAGTCCCTCTGATCAGGGATCTCAGGAACAAGAAACTTTATTTACACAGTCTGTGTGTGTTCAGATTAATGCTGGTTGTATGATGCTAGCCCATTGAAGTACCATGCCGCAGTTTGACATGGATACCTCACTCAGACACAGTATACTGACTCAACGGTTGAATGCTCTCTCACATGAATGTACATTGTACAAATTTGCACGTAATCCTAACTTGAACCTCTCCGTCACGATCAATAACTATAACATCTTTTTCAAGTGAGCGAGTTTGGCTTAACACAGATTGAACCGTACCTCAGTTATATCACAGTGTAAGAGGGGAAATGGGGTTGAACGTTGCGTTGAAGATAATTGTGCTTCTTGTGATGTGAATGTACTAGACCGGACATATACTTTACCCAGTCCTTGTATTATCCCTTAATGTCGAGGACCAGGCATGACATGGCTGGGGATGTTTGTTTGTTGTTTAACACCGCACTCAGCAGTATTCCAGCTATAAGGCGGGGGTTAGTAAATAATCAAGTCTGGACCAGACAATCCAGTGATTGATATCATAAGCATCGATCCACGCAATTGGGATACGATATCATGCATCAACCAAGTCAGCGAGAGTGATTACCCGATCCCGTTAGTTGCCTCTTACGACAAGCACAGTCACCTTTTACGGCAAGCACAGGTTGCTGAAGACCTATTCTACCCCGGATCTTCACGGCTGGGGATCTAACCACCGACCTTCACTCTTTGTGCTTGTGCTCTATCCACTTGTCCATTGAGGCGGTCAGTTTGTATGTGCCCAGCAACCTTTGCTTGTATCATTCAAATTAATGAGTGAGTGAGTGAGTATGGTTTTACGCCGCTCTTAGCAATATTCCAGCAATATCACGACGGGGGACACCAGAAATAGGCTTCACACATTGTACCCATGTCAGGAATCGAACCCGGGTCTTCGGCGTGACGAGCGAACGCTTTAACCACTAGGCTACCTGACCGCCCCTCGAATTAATGGAAAGGTGGGTCATGCTTGGCGATTTGATAGACTGTCATCATATCCTGATGGTGTTGGATGCTGCTCGCAATATCAATCACTGGATTGTCTGGTCTCTGGCATATACGGGTCGCTGACATGCGTTTTGATATTGCAGATGCGGAATTAAACAATAACAAACAAAAACACATCTTTGGAATGAGCCAATAAATCAATAAACATAAAATTGGAAAAACTGATTTATTTACACATAAAAACGCATTCACAAAGGCACATGGCTCGATTTCTGTAACCTTTTCTTTGACCGTAGTTTGAGCACCTCCACCGGCACACAGAATGGATTGAGAGAATAAAGTTGTGGTTTCTCCAGCGGAGGCTCTCCCTTCCTTACTCTCCCCGGGCCTTTCTTTGGAGGCTCGCTGACAGCCTCACTAGGACCAGGAGTTGCCTCCCTTTGTCTCTTTGGCTCACTGATTGTGTCACTAGGACCAGGAGTTGCCTCCCTTTGTCTCTTTGGCTCACTGATTGTGTCACTAGGACCAGGAGTTGCCTCCCTTTGTCTCTTTGGAGGCTCACTGATTGTGTCACTAGGACCATGAGTTGCCTCCCTTTGTCTCTTTGGCTCACTGATTGTGTCACTAGGACCAGGAGTTGCCTCCCTTTGTCCAATCGCGGTTGTTGCAAGATTCTGTTGTACAGGGCCTGGCACAGTGGAAGCTGACTCGTTCTTCTGAGAAGAGATGTTAAAGTCATCGGGGAATACTGAAACACAAAATAATGAACGTGAATTTATATTTTCAGAGCCATTAATGATGTCATCTATTGAAGGCAGGAAGTGTTAAATTCTATTTTTCCAGCCTGATATTCAATAAGACATAAATTCAATTTTGGTCAAACTGATCTTCTTCTTTCAGAACTGACCTTATAAACCACCATTGCCCTGCAACCAGGGATAGTGAGAGTGAGTTGGGTTTAACGCCACTTTTAACAGTATTCCAGTTATATCGCGGAGTGTCAGCTTAATGTGGGAGGAAAGCCTGCAGTGATGCTGGTCTCAGACATTTACCACTTCGGTGAAACCCACGAGCACGGGTATGGTGCTGACAAACCTAGAAACATAATCGGGGTGAACCGGGATCATATCATAGGTTTCTGCATAGCGAAACGCGGCGCCTAAGACGACTTGGCCAACCGTGCCCCCACAACCAGGGATATAATCAGGCGGTGAGGGTAAATGTTGATAGAGTGCAGTCAGCAATATTCCAGCTATATCAAAGCAAGGTATGAATAGTAGAATCTCTGATGAAGGAATGGGTGGTGGATATGATCAATGTGACCCATTGTTTGATTGTTTGTTGTTTAGCGCCGCACTCAGCAATATTCCAGCTTTATGACGGCAGTCTGTAAATAATCGAGTCTGGACCAGACAATCCAGTGATTGACATCATGAGCATCGATTTACGCAACTGGGATACAATGACGTCAACCAAGTCGGCGCCTGACCACCTGATCCTGAGAGGCGCCTCTTATGACAAGCATAGTCGCCTTTTATGGGAAACATAGGTTGCTGATGACCTATTCTACCCCGAATCTTCACTGGTATGTTACTCATAGAATGACATGCAATGAACTGAGGTATCACGCCTAAACACCATATTTAATTTAGCACCGATAAACGACAAGTAGGTGTAGTTTTATTCCATACTGGATGTCCTCCTGCCCATAGTTTTCGGGAGTGAGTGAGTGAGTGAGTGAGTGAGTGAGTGAGTGAGTGAGTGAGTGAGTGAGTGAGTGAGTGAGTGAGTGAGTGAGTGAGTGAGGTTTAACGCCCCTTTTGGCAATATTCCAGCAACATCACGGCGGGGGACGCCAGAATTGGGAGTCGAACCCGGGTCTTAGGCGTGACAAGCGAACACTTTAACTACTAGGCTACCCGACCGCCCGGGAGTGGTTACAGATCCGTTTAACAGGTCATTTTCTAATTAACATAGCATGATAAATGAACATTGATAGAACATTAAAGAGTATCTTTATCAGTTGTTGACATGATCGTTGTAAATCTTTGTATAGTGGGATGTACATAACAAGGCAGATCAATATATTTTCTTCTAAGGTGGTCGTATTTTGGACCACAAGTAATAGAGTGATGGGAAGCAATTAGATCTCAGGTCTCTTTCAAGTTGAGAGTGAGTGGTTGGTTGGTTGGTTGGTTGGTTGATTGGTTGTTTAACGCCTCACTCAGCAATATTCCAGCTATATGACAGCGGTCTTTAAATAATCGAGTCTGGACCAGACAATCCAGTGATTAATATATCAAGCAATTGGGATCGATGACATACATCAACCAAGTCGGCGAGTCTGACCACCCGATCTCGTTAGTCGCCTTTTACGGCAAGCATAGTCACCTTTTATGGCAAGCATAGTCGCCTTTTTCCGGCAAGCACGGTCCCCTTTTACGGCAAGCATTGAGAGTGAGTGAGTGAGATGGGTTAAACACTGCTTTGAACAATATTCCAGTTAATCACAGCGTGTCTGCTTGATGTGGAAGGAAAGTGATGTCAGTCTTTACATTAACCACGGGCACAGGTATGGTGCAGACAAACCTTGAGACAGGGCGAAACAGGAATTGAACCCACTGTTACAGCAGGTTTCTGTCAAGCCCAAGGGACAAAATTCTGCACAGCAAATTGTTCCACCCTTAGATATATAGAACTTACCATTAGTGAGAGCTGTGTACCTACCATTAGTGAGAGCTGTGTACCTACCATTAGTGAGAGCTGTGTACCTACCATTAGTGAGGGCTGTGTACCTACCATTAGTGAGGGCTGTGTACCTACCATTAGTGAGGGCTGTGTACCTACCATTAGTGAGAGCTGTGTACCTACCATTAGTGAGAGCTGTGTACCTACCATTAGTGAGGGCTGTGTACCTACCATTAGTGAGAGCTGTGTACCTACCATTAGTGAGAGCTGTGTACCTACCATTAGTGAGGGCTGTGTACCTACCATTAGTGAGAGCTGTGAACCTACCATTACTGAGTAACTACCATTAGTGAGAGCTGTGTACCTACCATTAGTGAGAGCTGTGTACCTACCATTACTGAGTAACTACCATTAGTGAGAGCTGTGTACCTACCATTAGTGAGGGCTGTGTACCTACCATTAGTGAGTAACTACCATTAGTGAGAGCTGTGTACCTACCATTACTGAGTAACTACCATTAGTGAGAGCTGTGTACCTACCATTAGTGAGGGCTGTGTACCTACCATTAGTGAGGGCTGTGTACCTACCATTAGTGAGTAACTACCATTAGTGAGGGCTGTGTACCTACCATTAGTGAGGGCTGTGTACCTACCATTAGTGAGGGTCGTGTACCTACCATTAGTGAGAGCTGTGTACCTACCATTAGTGAGGGCTGTGTACCTACCATTAGTGAGGGTTGTGTACCTACCATTAGTGAGAGCTGTGTACCTACCATTAGTGAGAGCTGTGTACCTACCATTAGTGAGGGCTGTGTACCTACCATTAGTGAGGGCTGTGTACCTACCATTAGTGAGAGCTGTGTACCTACCATTAGTGAGGGCTGTGTACCTACCATTAGTGAGGGTTGTGTACCTACCATTAGTGAGGGCTGTGTACCTACCATTAGTGAGAGTGATGTACCTACCATTAGTGAGGGTTGTGTACCTACCATTAGTGAGAGCTGTGTACCTACCATTAGTGAGGGTTGTGTACCTACCATTAGTGAGAGCTGTGTACCTACCATTAGTGAGGGTTGAGTACCTACCATTAGTGAGGGTTGTGTACCTACCATTAGTGAGGGTTGTGTACCTACCATTAGTGAGAGCTGTGTACCTACCATTAGTGAGAGCTGTGTACCTACCATTAGTGAGAGCTGTGTACCTACCATTAGTGAGGGCTGTGTACCTACCATTAGTGAGAGCTGTATACCTACCATTAGTGAGTACCTACCATTAGTGAGAGCTGTGTACCTGCCATTAGTGAGAGCTGTGTACCTACCATTAGTGAGAGCTGTGTACCTACCATTAGTGAGAGCTGTGTACCTACCATTAGTGAGAGTTGTGTACCTGCCATTAGTGAGAGCTGTGTACCTACCATTAGTGAGAGCTGTGTACCTACCATTAGTGAGAGCTGTGTACCTACCATTAGTGAGGGCTGTGTACCTACCATTAGTGAGAGTTGTGTACCTGCCATTAGTGAGAGCTGTGTACCTACCATTAGTGAGGACTGTGTACCTACCATTAGTGAGTACCTACCATTAGTGAGGACTGTATACCTACCATTAGTGAGGGCTGTGTACCTACAATTAGTGAGAGCTGTGTACCTACCATTAGTGAGGGCTGTGTACCTACCATTAGTGAGAGCTGTGTACCTACCATTAGTGAGGGCTGTGTACCTACCATTAGTGAGAGCTGTGTACCTACCATTAGTGAGAGCTGTGTACCTACCATTAGTGAGAGATGTGTACCTACCATTAGTGAGGGCTGTGTACCTACCATTAGTGAGGGCTGTGTACCTACCATTTGTGAGAGCTGTGTACCTACCATTAGTGAGGGCTGTGTACCTACCATTTGTGAGAGCTGTGTACCTACCATTAGTGAGGGCTGTGTACCTACCATTAGTGAGAGCTGTGTACCTACCATTAGTGAGAGCTGTGTACCTACCATTTGTGAGAGCTGTGTACCTACCATTAGAGAGGGCTGTGTACCTACCATAAGTGAGAGCTGTGTACCTACCATTTGTGAGGGCTGTGTACCTACCATTTGTGAGAGCTGTGTACCTACCATTAGAGAGGGCTGTGTACCTACCATAAGTGAGAGCTGTGTACCTACCATTTGTGAGGGCTGTGTACCTACCATTTGTGAGAGCTGTGTACCTACCATTAGAGAGGGCTCTACGGGTTCTGGCTGCGGAGTCCTGCAAGTTATTGATGTCCACTTTGCAGTTCAACATTGAGAACTTCCACTTCATCACCTGTCTCTGCAGCCTCGTGTCCGTCGTACTCAGCACGTCCGTCAGGCTGTGCATCAGGTCCAGCATCACGGCAGAATCTACACGAGACACTCAACATCAGGGAGCTCATGAAGCAGGTACACTTAGCTATACATTACAGTGGAACCTCATTAATCAGTGACACTCGGCTATACACTACAGTGGAACCTCATTAATCAGTGACACTCGGCTATACAGTACAGTAGAACCTCATTAATCAGTGACGCTCGGCTATACACTACAGTAGAACCTCATTAATCAGTGACACTCGGCTATACACTACAGTGGAACCTCATTAATCAATGACACTCGGCTATACACTACAGCGGAACCTCATTAATCAGTGACACTTGGCTATACACTACAGGAGAACCTCATTAATCAGTGACACTTGGCTATACCCTACAGTGGAACCTCATTAATCAGTGACACTCGGCTATACCCTACAGAGGAACTTCATTAATCAGTGACACTCAGCTATAGACTACAGTAGAACCTCATTAATCAGTGACACTCGGCTATACACTACAGTAGAACCTCATTAATCAGTGACACTCGGCATTACACTACAGCGGAACCTCATTAATCAGTGACACTCAGCTATACACTACAGGAGTACCTCATTAATCAGGGGTGTAGAAGTTGAAAAATTAAAAATCCTTTCTGTCAACACAAGAAAGCACGATTGAAACATACTTGTCCTGAATTGAAGGTTACATGATATAATCAGATTGTGTTTTGAGGTTTGTGGCCACTAGTGTAATACCTGTGGGCTTGGAATGCATCTACTAGTTGCTTTTCTAACCAATAAATATTTAAACACAATTACACACCTTGATATGAATGATATAAGAAACATAGGCCATGTAGTGTACTGAGAATCATACAAGAGAGAGAACCACTCTGCCATTAACATCATTAACGTCGCCAAGGGAGGTAACCACTCTGCCATCACTATCATTAACTTTGCCAAGGGAGGTAACCGCTATGCCATTACTAACTTCACAAAGGGAGACAATCACTCATCTACCACAATCAGCTTTCCAAAGGGAGACAACCCCTCGCTATGACTATCATCAGCCCAAGCCCCTATCAAGACACCTCAGTTACTCCCAGTAACACGGATGCAACAAGTGTGGAACCGGCCATTACAAGAGTCTCAGGGATTTAACTAGACTTGCACAGGGGCTAATATTCAGCCCCAAGTCTGCAGCAAATGACAGTAAAAATTCCCATTTTAAATAATAATTTTTCAATTCGATAGAATTTATGAAAAATAGAATACCGTTATTAAATTAAGTCCAATTCTGAAATATATCACAGCCATTAGTGAGAGCTGTGTAGCCCAGGAGATGTAGAGACTGAATCACCACTCTGCTTGAGTGGGAATGCTTCTGAATGGGGAACAAACACACCAGGGCCCACTTGCACAAAGCGATCTTAGCGCTAAGATGATCTTAACTCCCCTTCTTTAACATAGGCTTACAACAGTCTTAGCGCTAAGATGATCTTAACTCCCCTACTTTAACATAGGCTTACAACAGTCTTAGCGCTAAGATGATCTTAACTCCCCTACTTTAACATAGGCTTACAACAGTCTTAGCGCTAAGATGATCTTAACTCCCATTCTTTAACATAGGCTTACAACAGTCTTAGCGCTAAGATGATCTTAACTCCCATTCTTTAACATAGGCTTACAATAGTCGTAGCGCTAAGATCGCTTTGTGCAAGTGGGCCCAGGTCTTTCTGATACACTCTATCAGAGTTTGAAATTGACTTAAGTCAGTGAATAAAATCCCCCCAAAGCAAAGTTACCAGACCAGCTAGAATGTTGCCAGTCTAGAATGCTCCAGACTAACTAACAAAAGTAGCAAAAGGAAAAAAGGAAAAACACAAGAATTCTAGTTTAACGTTAGTTCTCAGAAAATAACAGTAAACTGATGAATTATCAACTTAGTAACTTTTACTCATGTACCTCTCACACTTAATGAAAACTAGATGCTTACGTAATTTAGGGGATAAAACAAAAGTCGGGCGTGCAACTTTTCAAATCATCCAATCATTCAAAACAGACCGCCTCAGACTGTCTGGCAGGCGTTATTTAAACACTGCACAAGTCCACTAGTCAAAGGCAACTAAAATACAGGAAGGACGTTTCCTTGTGGACTACCGGTACCACTTTTACCATGACATACACGGCAACTCTGTAGAAGACCATTTTTGTAGACCAGTGAAAAATTAATTTCCGACCCTGTCTAACACCAAGGCGTTTATAAACCAGTGCAGCGTGGACTCACCTAAGGGAGACAACTTGGGGGGCTCATCTCCATTGAGAACTGCTGTGAGGTACTTGTAGAGTCTAACACCAAGGCTAAACCAGTGCAGCGTGGACTCACCTAAGGGAGACAACTTGGGGAGCTCATCTCCATTGAGAACTGCTGTGAGGTACTTGTAGAGTCTAACACCAAGGCTAGACCAGTGCAGCGTGGACTCACCTAAGGGAGACAACTTGGGGAGCTCATCTCCATTGAGAACTGCTGTGAGGTACTTGTAGAGTCTAACACCAAGGCTAGACCAGTGCAGCGTGGACTCACCTAAGGGAGACAACTTGGGGAGCTCATCTCCATTGAGAACTGCTGTGAGGTACTTGTAGAGTCTAACACCAAGGCTAAACCAGTGCAGCGTGGACTCACCTAAGGGAGACAACTTGGGGGGCTCATCTCCATTGAGAACTGCTGTGAGGTACTTGTAGAGTCTAACACCAAGGCTAAACCAGTGCAGCGTGGACTCACCTAAGGGAGACAACTTGGGGGGCTCATCTCCATTGAGAACTGCTGTGAGGTACTTGTAGAGTTGTTTATAGTTGGGGGACATTGCATCTTCGGGTGGTGGGAAGCCCTCGTAATTGGATACTATAGACATGGCCTGAAAACATTACAGTGTTCGCAATTAAACAAGAAAGTCACCTGGGGTCCTTGTTATAAGGGGCGGAGTGGACAGGCTGTCAAAAGAACCAGGTGCCCGGCGCTGAGATTGTATCCCATTAGTCACCGAGACCAATTTTGTTTACAGGTCCTTACTTCCCCTAGTGTACAGTATATTCACCATCAAAAGAACCCACTGACTCATCTGATGGTAGACATCTTCCCGAGGCAAGAGAGTTAACTGACTTTAAAAGTCCAGTTTCCACCCTTGCCGAACAAGGCTGGGATTACTGGGCTCGATCGTAGCCCCACCAGTGGCTATTACCAGCTATGTCCCTTCTAAGCCGCTCCTATAGACCAATCAGATTCCACTTCTCGTATCACCTGCGTTTGCTTCACACAAAATGGTGGCGGCCAGTCAGGACGATCTGATCGAAATCAATATCTATATTTTGATAAAACGGGTCTTACATCGCGAAATGCATCAAATCACGCGAGCACATTGATTAAAAACATGAAAAGATTTGGAAAATATCTGCTGACAACGAGTTGGTGGTGCACATGCTTTGCAAATCCTGCAATCGACTGAAATCTGCACGACGGTTTACGAACCGATTTCGATTTCGGTGCGCGTTTTTGATTGGACTATGCATGGACTCGCTAGTCCAGCCAAAATGTAACTCCATCATACCAGCCTAGTTCAACAAGGGTGGAAACTGGACTTTTATAGTCAGTTACCTCTCTTGCCTCGGGAAGAAGGATGGTAGATGACCAGATGGTGGAAACACGAACATGTACATACACCCGAAACACAAGTGTAAACTTGTGGTGTCACCCTGGGCAAGTGACTTAGTTCAAATGTGCCTGTGTTCACCCAGCAGGGAGTGGGTACCCGATATGTGAGGTGGGTGTAAAAACCTTCAAGCGCCCGTATACAGCTTAGGTTGTATGTATACTTCCTAGGGAGTTGAGAATGATCACTGGAATGCAAACAGATCCAATGGTCGGGAAACAAATATAACTGCATTTAAGCAGATAGTAGTCAGCGGTAGAAACTACAGTTTTTGGTCCACTAGTCCTTATAATGATAAAATATAGCAAAATCCTTAAAAATGGCAAATATCTACTTGTCCTTATGATACCTTAACTATTGGGCAGTTTGGCAAGGACTACAGGACTAGTGCCAATTTCTAACCCTGCTAGTACCTGGATACCTGCGTTGTATTAATGTGCAATGTAATAATAATATAACCCTTGTGTTAAAGTCTAGGATTTAGGGGCTCCCCAGAACACACAGCATAGACATGGGGTTTCCTACCTGCCACATGCGCACAACAGTGGTGGAGTGAGTGAGTGAGTTGGGTTTAACGCCGCTTTTAACAGTATTCCAGTTATATCACAGCATGTCAGCTTAATGTGGGAGGAAAGCCCGAAGTGATGCAGGTCTCAGACGTTTACCACTTCGGTGAAACCCACGAGCACGGGTATGGTGCTGACAAACCTAGAAAGATAATCGGGGCGAACCGGGATTCGAACCCACAATCATAGGTTTCTGGTGTGCCCAAGGGACGCAACTCTGCACAGCGAATCGCTGCGCCTTAGACGACTGGGCCACCTGTGCCCCCACAACAGTGGTGGAGGAAACATAGTATCCACACAAGCATTTAAAGTCAGCTGACAGTGAAGAGGACTACAAGAAAATCTGTTGAAAATCGACAAGATTTTTATAGTGTGATAGAAACCAAAATACAGGATTATGGCAGTGATGTAGAGGTGTGGAATTCGAAGGATCCAAAACATCACTTGAATATTCTCAAATGCCTGCACACCAATTGTCCTAATTAAATACCCTGTAAGTAACCAAGTGAAGACAGGTGAGGTGGGGTGAAATTGGGTTTAACGTCACGTCCAAGATTATTGCACTTATATAGCGACGTGCATGCACGTGTGTGTGTGTGTGTGGCTGCTTGTACTAGTTCGGACTGATGCCGATTTATAGTGCTAGCACACTGAGATACCATGCCGCAGTTTAACATGAATACCCAACTCAGACACAGTATACAGACTCCGGCCAGGGATCGAACCCCGGACCTTCCGCTCTCCGGGCAGATGCTCTACCACTAGACCACGGAGGCGGTCAAGTGAAGACAGAGATGCTCCACATCTTGTACTGACCCGCGCCATGCTCCGAGAGAGGTCCTCTTCCTCATAGTGCACCATCTCAATAGCAAAGTCCAGCCATGTCTGAAACACAAAACAATGGTATATAGAGAATCTCACCCAAGTGTCCGAGGCAAGCCTTGGAATTTTTTCACTTTTATCAACTCGTGTTGATATATTTGATATCAAAAGACACGAGGGTGAGATTTTATTTATCATCCAACATCATTCTTCCAACTTTTTCAATTTGTAGACAGTAATTAACAGTGTCTTCAGTGTAAAAAGTACTGCTAACAGCTTGAGTAGCAGAGCCATTAGTGATGTCATTTGATTGTGACGTCATGGTAACCGGTGATGTCACAATGGTCTGCAAAGCATTTTGATGTAATTTCATTGCAGCGATATCTACAGTGTAGATATCGCTTGATCTCATCCAACGATATCTCCTGTGGGAGCCAGTTTTGGATGATAAATAAACCTTTCATCCAGTGTTTTCTGGGAAGATGTTGATGACACGACGCGAAACAGGCCATGACATAAGCTCACTCATTGTTCAGTCCATAAGTATTCATTAAAAAATTACAAGACGGTCAAATGCTTCACAACAAACTCAGTTAACTCGGAGCATGTGCAAACTCACATCACTTGTGTCTGAAGGCTGGGTGTATAAGGTTTAAAAAAAATAAAAGAATTGGTTTCGAAAATATAGTGCGGGAGGAGTTTTTTAAAAATATTTTGGCTTGTTCCAACTAGTATGTTGGTTTGTTGTTTAACGCCGCACTCAGCAATATTCCAGCTATATGACAGCGGTCTGTAAACAATCAAGGAAATGAATGCAATAACATGTGACCAATTCAGCTAATGCAGTAATACTGTAAAACAGGAATTTAATGCGACATGAAAATAATGCGAGCTCTTGATTTTAGACATCAATGCGCATTTTAAAAATGCGAGTGCCTATACCCTTTCCTAAAAATTTATGCGCTGGATTTATGTTCTGTGTTATTTTAATTAATGTAACCTAGGTAAATAAAAGCCTTACCTGAAAACGCTTCGTTTGTTTCAAATGATGTTTTGAGCAGGAACTGTGAGTAGACAGAGATAAATAAACTAACTGCGGATTAGTGTCATGAAACCCATTCATGCGAGTTGGCTCGTATCTGCTCTTGACAAGCTTGTAAAGGTGAGGTGAAATTGGGTTTAACGTCGCGTCCAAGATTATTGCACTTATATAGCGACGTGCATGCACGTGTATGTGTGTGTGTGGCTGCTTGTACTAGTCCGGACTGATGCCGATTTATAGTGCTAGCTCACTTTAACATGAATGCCCCACTCAGACACAGTATACTGACTCCGAGCCGACCAGTCCTTGTTTTAGCCCCTTAATGCCGAGCGCCAGACAGGGTAACAACAAGTACAATCTTTTAACGTCTTTTTGTATGACGCGGCCCGGGCGGACGCTCTACCACAAGACCACGGAGGCGGTCTGCTTGTAAAGGACACTGATGGGATAATTCGTGGCTGGCGCCAATCTGGGCTGCTTGACAGGATGTGAACTGACCACTACTCGACTTCACTTTGTGTAGGTGACTTTGTTATTTTGTCTAGTAATTTATTTATCTATTACCTTGGTGACTGATTGTTGTCAGTGGCTGCTATCAATTTGTAATGATCTGATATCATTGTTTTTGATGTAATACTAGTAAATAATACTGAAGGGTTTATTTCGTTTGTTGATTGTTTCCTTATTTTGATGGTACAAAATTAATGCGCATAAAATTAATACGACCTGTCACTCGTATTTTTCACATTAATATTCTGCTCTCATTAATTTCCTGTTTTACAGTATATCAATGAACACATCGAAAATTTAATTATTGACAATTTAGTTCCTTAACTTCTGGGTTAACTTGTGTGAATCAAGTCGGAAATCACCTGCATGGAGTGAGGGAGTGAGTTGGGTTTAACGCCGCTTTTAACAGTATTCCAGTTATATCACGGCGCGTCAGCTTAATGTGGGAGGAAAGTCCGAGGTGATGCAGGTCTCAGACATTTACCACTTCGGGGCGAACCGGGATTCGAACCCACAATCATAGGTTTCTGGCGTGCCCAAGGGACGCAACTGCACAGCAAATCGCGGCGCCTTAGACGACTGGGCAACCCGTGCCCCGAATCCTGCATGGAGGAAAGTACTTACTTCAATAGGTGTCTGCAAGCCAGGCCCTGGAACAAACAAACCAGCACTTCAATTCATGCAGTGAGGTAGTTCAGTATTTCACGGTAATTTCAATGCAAGGTGTTCGACGAGACCCAAAAGCAAGAGTCTGGTGATGACAAACCAAAAACACAATGAGGGCTAATCCGGAATTCAAACCCTCCAAAGGTTTCTCACAAACAATGTTCGCAACTCTCTTCTGCAAATAAGCTCTAGAAATCAAGAAACAATCAGGGCAAATCTGGAATTTGAACCCATGGTCTTAGGGTCCTGGCACGGCTAAGGGACATAACTCTGCATTGAATGACTGGACCACTGGTTCCCTTACTTAGAACATTATTTCCACACAGCAAAAGGATTCCGGGGCCCACTTGCACAAAGCCATCTTAGCGCTAAGATGTTAAAGTATGGGAGTTACGATCATGTTAGCGCTAAGATCGCTTTGTGCAAGTGGGCCCTGGTTGACCGCTTCAGTGCTTTAAGGACCGCCTCCGTGGTCTAGTGGTAGAGCGTCCGACCGGAGAGCGGTAGGTCCGGGGTTCGATCCCCGACTGCGTCATAACAAAAGACTTTAAAAGATGGTACTTGTTGTTACCCTGTCTGGCGCTCGGCATTAAGGGGCTAAAACAAGGACTGGTCGGCTCAGAGTCAGTATACTGTGTCTGAGTAGGGTATTCATGTTAAACTGCAGCATGGTATCTCAGTGAGCTAGCACTATAAATAGTACATCATAAATGTGCATACCATATGTGCATACCGTATTTGACGTAATTAGCGCCCAGGGCGCTCACAAAATTAGAAATAGGGGGCTCTTATTAGAATATTATTTTGAGTTGAAAGATCGTAAATTTCGTGGTTTATGATGACAGCCTGAATTGTTTATATTCGACAGAAATATTTTTCCAGGATTTAATTGCCCATAATTAACGGTGCATATAACATACGAGTGTGTATTATACACGAATATATAAGTCTTGTGTACAGTTGAAAGGGGTGCTAATTGAGATTGTTCACTTGCCAATATATTAGCAAATATTGCTGTGGGCGCTTATTAGAGCAGGGCGCTTATTACGTCGAATACGGTATTACATTATCATTTTACACATGCCGACTGTGTGAGATGGTGGGGAGCCTACCTTGTTGGACCACTGAGTGACGCAGCCGTAGCACCTCGGCTGCTACCTGGAACAAAACTAATAATTAGACAACATGGACGTGGTCCAACTTACAAGTAACCGACTCTTTCCTGAATAGGCCTTTCCTGAAGTTTGCTTGCAGTGAGCATTATCAACTTCACTGAAAACTAACTTTATGTGTTTCTAGTCAAATACTTCATTGGGCATCTTCCCATGGCAAGGGAGTTAACTGACTTTAAAAGTCCAGTTTCCACCCTTGCCGAACTAGGCTGGAATTACTGGGCTCGATCGTAGCGCCACCAGTGGCTATTACCAGTTATGTCCCTACTAAGCCTCTCATATGGACCAATCAGATTCCATCTCTAGTATCACTTGCGTTTGCTTCACACAAAATGGTGGCGCCCTGTCGGGACGATCTGATCGATAATCAAGATCTATATTGTGATAAAACGGGTCTTACATCGCGAAATGCATCAAATCAAGTGAGCACCTTGGTTATAAACATGAAAGGATTTGGAAAATATCTGTTGACAACAAATTGGCGGTGCACATGCTTTGCAAACCCTGCAATCGACCGAAATCTGCCCGACAATTTACAAACCGGATTTTGATTTTGGTGCACGATTTTGATTGGACTATGCATAGACTCGTTAGTCCAGACAAAACGTAACACCATAATACCAGTCAGTTAACTCCTTTGACTCGGGAAGATGTTCATTGGGATGAATTAACTTGAATCTTAAAGGAATACCTTACACAAATTGGGATTAATAATAAGATATGACTGCAGTCAAACTCATTATTGAGAATCATTGTTGAAGTTTAACAAAATTAATACATAAACTTATTGGAGTGAGTGAGTGAGTTGGGTTTAACGCCGCTTTTAACAGTATTCTAGTTATATCGCGGCGTGTCCGCTTAATGTAGGAGGAAAGCCCGAAGTGATGCAGGTCTCAGACGTTTACCACTTCGGTGAAACCCACGAGCACGGGTATGGTGCTGACAAACCTAGAAACATAATTGGGGCGAACCGGGAATCGAACCCACAATCATAGGTTTCTGGCGTGCCCAAGGGACGCAACTCTGCACAGCGAATCGCGGCGCCTTAGACGACTGCCCCAATCGTGCCCCCTATACTTATATGAGAAAACTACAGAGAGACATAATCCTGGGACTGAATTGGATTGTGTGTACTTCATGCACATTCAAAAGTCATAAAAGCCCCATTTTGGTCAAACAAGATGCATTTCCTTCAGCTTCTTACTTACCCTATCTCATAGCCTGCATTTCCTTTTAACAGTCTTAAAAATTTGCAATGCATGACAATTTGTTCAATCATCTATTTACACACAGGCCCGTGAAGAGCGGGGATAGAATAGGTCTTCAGCAACCCATGCTTGCTGTAAAATGCGACTATGTTTGTCGTAAGAGGTGACTAACGGGATCGGGTGGTCAGGCTCGCTGACTTGGTTGATGCGTGTCATCGTATCCCAATTGCACGGATCAATGCTCATGTTGTCAAACACTGGATTGTCTGGTCCAGACTTGATTATTTAGAGACCGCCGTCATATAGCTTGAATTTTGCTGAGTGCGGCGTTAAACAACAAACAAACAAACAAACAAACAAACAAAAATCACAACACTGTTATATCTGCAATCAGTTTGCTGAGTAAGTATGGTGTTACGCCGCTTTTAGCAATATTCCAGCAATATCGAAATGAGGGACCCCAGAAAATGGGCTTCACATGTGGGGAATCAGACTGGCCCTTCAGTCTGGCGAGTGAGACCCTCAACCACCGGGCTAGCCAACCCGACCCCTGCCCCAACTCGACCCCTGCCTCACCCCGACCCCTGCCCCACCCCGACCCCTGCCTCACCCCGACCCCTGCCTCACCTCCTTACGAGTTCGACTCGGCACCATGTTGTAGACCTTCTCCAGCTCTTCTTCCGAGTGGCTGAAAATTCACAAAATAGGAGTGAATGAACTGCATGCGCTTCTGTGGCTTTTGATTGGCCAAACAAACAATTTTGGTGAAAAATCTGTGAAGTACCGTATTCGACGTAATAAGCGCCCCGCTCTAATAAGCACCCACGTCAATTTTGCTAATATATAAGCTAGTGAACAATCCCAATTGGCACCCCTTCCGATTGATCAATGTACACAAGACTTATTTATTCTTGTATATGCACCCTTATTTACGGGTAAATTAAATTCGAGAAAATTATATATGTCGTGTATAATACGCACAGACTTTTCTTTTGTATCATTTCAGGCTGTCAGCATAAAACACGAAATTTACGATCTTTCAACTCTGTTTTTTTTCTCACCAAAATTTTAAGAGCGCCCTGGGCGCTTATTACGTCGAATACGGTAATTATTGTTGATGTGATTATATATTAGAATTGACTACAATACATTTTTGTGTTTATGGACTTTTGTAAGACAGCTACACGATAAAACGCAAAGTGTGAGTGAGTGAGTTGGGTTTAACGCCGCTTTCAACAATATTCCAGTTATATCGCGGCGCGTCAGCTTAATGTGGGAGGAAAGCCCGGAGTGATACAGGTCTCAGACATTTACCACTTCGGTGAAACCCACGAGCACGGGTATGGTGCTGACAAACCTAGAAACATAATCGGGGCAAACCATGATTCGAACCCACAATCATAGGTTTCTGACGTGCCCAAGGGACACAACTCTGCACAGCGAATCGCGACGCCTTAGACGGCTGGGCCACCCGTGCCCCTTACAGCTTTACATCTTAGGGTGAATGAGTGAGTATGGTTTTATGCCGCTTTTAGCAATATTCCAGCAATATCACGGCGGGGTACACCAGAAATGGGCTTCACACATTGTACCCATGTCGGGAATCGAACCTGGGTCTTCGGCGTGACGAGCGAACGCTTTAACCACTAGGCTACCCGACCGCCCCTTTACATCTTAGAGCCTGCATCTGAAACCTGCCATGCCTACCATGCTCTCAGTGCTGAGATCAGCTGTTTCTTCTCGGATGTAGACCACTTGGCCTTGACCATGAACATGGGCCGGGGTGACGCTAGTCGTGGCCCCACCACATCTGACACGGAGAGGCTCTCACTTGGCCCAGTCACATCATGCTTCCTCTTTCTGGCTCTCTTCTTTGGGAACGGTGTCGACGTTAGCGTGGGCTCGGCAAAGGAGTCAGACATCTCAACATCTGGAACATGAGTGTGAGTGAGTGAGTGAGTGAGTGAGTGAGTGAGTGAGTTTGATTTTAAGCTGCTTTTAGCAATATTCCAGCAATATCACGGCGGGGGACACCAGAAATGAGCTTCACACATTGTACCCATGTCGGGAATCGAACCCGGGTGTTCGGCGTGACGAGCGAACGCTTTAACCACTAGGCTACCCGACTGCCCCATCTGGAACATGAATACGAGTGACTGAGTGAGTGGGTGGGTGGGTGGTCAGAACTTAATCTGATTTTTGTGGCCAGTCTGCCAATGGTACAAAAAATCAAATATACACTTTGAATATAAGTGGTCCTGTGGTCCATTGAATACCCAACACAGAGGTCCCAAGGGAGTAAAACTACATTGAATACAAAACACAGTGGACCCAAGGGAGTAAAAGTACATTGAATACCCAACACAGTGGACCCAGGGGAGTAAAAGTACATTGAATACCCAACACAGTGGACCCAGGAGAGTAAAAGTACATTGAATACCCAACACAGTGGACCCAGGGGACTAAAAGTACATTGAATACCCAACACAGTGGACCCAGGGGACTAAAAGTACATTGAATACCCAACACAGTGGACCTTAGGGAGTAAAAGTATGTTGAATACCCAACACAGTGGACCCAGGAGAGTAAAAGTACATTGAATACCCAACACAGTGGACCCAAGATAGTAAAAGTACATTGAATACCCAACACAGTGGACCCAAGGGAGTAAAAGTACATTGAATACCCAACACAGTGGACCCAAGGGAGTAAATGTACATTGAGTACCCAACAGGGTGGACCGAGGGCAGTAAAAGTACATTGAATACCCAACACAGTGGACCCAGGGGACTAAAAGTACATTGAATACACAACACAGTGGACCCAGGGGAGTAAAAGTACATTGAATACACAACACAGTGGACCCAGGGGAGTAAAAGTACATTGAATACACAACACTGGACCCAGGGGAGTAAAAGTACATTGAATACCCAACACAGTGGACCCAGGGGAGTAAAAGTACATTGAATACCCAACACAGAGGACCCAAGGGAGTAAAAGTACATTGAATACCCAACACAGTGGACCCAAGGGAGTAAAAGTACATTGAATACCCAACACAGTGGACCCAATGGAGTAAAAGTATGTTGAATACCCAACACAGTGGACCCAAGGGAGTAAAAGTACATTGAATACACAACACAGTGGACCAAAGGGAGTAAAAGTACATTGAATACACAACACAGTGGACCCAATGGAGTAAAAGTACATTGAATACACAACACAGTGGACCAAAGGGAGTAAAAGTACATTGAATACACAACACAGTGGACCCAATGGAGTAAAAGTACATTGAATACCCAACACAGTGGACCCAGGGGAGTAAAAGTACATTGAATACACAACACAGTGGACCAAAGGGAGTAAAAGTACATTGAATACACAACACAGTGGACCCAGGGGAGTAAAAGTACATTGAATACCCAACACAGAGGACCCAAGGGAGTAAAAGTACATTGAATACACAACAGAGTCGACCCAGGGGAGTAAAAGTACATTGAATACCCATCACAGTTGACCCAAGGGAGTAAAAGTACATTGAATACCCAACACAGTGGACCCAGGGGAGTAAAAGTACATTGAATACCCAACACAGTGGACCCAAGGGAGTAAAAGTACATTGAATACCCATCACAGTGGACCCAAGGGAGTAAAAGTACATTAAATACCCAACACAGTGGACCCAGGGGAGTAAAAGTACATTGAATACCCAACACAGAGGACCCAAGGGAGTAAAAATATGTTGAACTATAAATACCCAATGTGAGTGATAACTTATGAGTAAATTCACAATGGCTGAAAACATTATCTGGAGCTCTGGTTGTCTCTGCCCAATAAGCAGGTAAGCTGGACAAATCAAGGTGCAACATCCATGGAATACAGTAAGACCAGACCGTGATAAGCTCCGTCTCCATACACACTTATCTACTGATAAGCCCGCTCTCATTCTGCTGTATCTATTGAGTATGTATCTCCAGCAGTTATCACAATCTTTGTTTACATGTTAATGAACACAACAAAAATTCTCCAGAAAAAGGTTTGCAATCTGTAGATTTAACCACCAATCTGAACCCTGCGTACAATTTCAACCTATCTTTTAAACTCAACTATTAGGCCTTAAACATTAAAATCTACTAAAATGTCTGAAAGTTTTGAATGCACAGACTTGAGTGGAAAGTGGAGCGTAGTTTTAAATTCATTTTATTATTTTAACTGGAAATTTCCCCACTTGCACATCAAAATAACACACATTTCATATGGACATTCATTCAATGCTGCATACATAATATATTTTAAATGCCTGAAGTTTCAATGCAAAACTTTCATTGTTTACTCAGCAGGTAGACACTCTGTCCACAAGAGCACGGACGCAGTCTCTAGCCAGACACTCTGTCCACAAGACAACAGAGGCAGTCTCTAGCCAGACAGTCTGTCCACAAGACCACGGACGCAGTGTCCAGGTAGACATTCTTTCCACAAGACAAGAGAGGCAGTCTCTAGCCAGACACTCTGTCCACAAGACCATGGAGGCAGTCTCCGGAGTGACGCTTTATCCCTTAGTCCATGGAGACAATCTCTAGGCAGACACTCTATCAACTAGTCCTTGGAGGTGGTCTCTGGGAAGATGCTCTATCCACATGACCAAGGAGGCAGTCTCAGGGCAGACAGTCTATCCACTACACCACGGAGGAGGACTCCAGGCAGATGCTTTACCGACTAGATCCAAAGGGGGTCACAAGGTAGACGCTGCAAACCATGAAGGCAGTCTCCAGGCAGACGCTCTTTGAAATGAATAATTCCAATTTGGGAATTTTTGCTCCAGACCTTGGGTTGAATACTGTCCTCTATGCAAGTCTAGATAAATCCACGGAGGGGAGACTCTATCCAAACTACCACGAATGCGGTCTCTGCTCAGACGCTCTATCAATTAAAGCACAGAGATTCCTGGCAGACACTCTATCCACCAGACCACAAATGCAGTCTCCAGGCAGACGCTCTATCCACCAGACCACAGATGTCGTCTCTGGGTAGATGCTCTATCCATTAAACCACAGAAGGGGTCTCCTGGCAGACGCTCTATCCACCAGACCACAGATGTCGTCTCTGGGCAGACGCTCTATCCATTAAACCACAGATGTCGTCTCTGGGCAGACGCTCTATCCACCAGACCACAGATGTCGTCTCTGGGTAGATGCTCTATCCATTAAACCACAGATGTCGTCTCTGGGCAGACGCTCTATCCACCAGACCACAGATGTCGTCTCTGGGTAGATGCTCTATCCATTAAACCACAGATGTCGTCTCTGGGCACACACTCTATCCACCAGACCACAGATGTCGTCTCTGGGCAGACGCTCTATCCACCAGACCACAGATGTCGTCTCTGGGCAGACGCTCTATCCATTAAACCACAGATGTCTTCTCTGGGCAGACGCTCTATCCATTAAACCACAGAAGTCGTCTCTGGGCAGACGCTCTATCCACCAGACCACAGATGTCGTCTCTGGGCAGACGCTCTATCCACCAGACCACAGATGTCGTCTCTGGGCACACACTCTATCCACCAGACCACAGATGTCGTCTCTGGGGAGATGCTTTATCCAGTAAACCACAGATGTCGTCTCTGAGCACACACTCTATCCACGAGACCACAGATGTCATCTCTGGGGAGATGCTTTATCCATTAAACCACAGAGGCAGTCTCTGGGCACACACTCTATCCACCAGGCCACAGATGTCGTCTCTGGGCAGACGCTCTATCCATTAAACCACAGATGTCGTCTCTGGGCAGACGCTCTATCCATTAAACCACAGATGTCGTCTCTGGGCACACACTCTATCCAACAGACCACAGATGTCGTCTCTGGGTAGATGCTCTATCCATTAAACCACAGAAGGGGTCTCCTGGCAGACGCTCTATCCACCAGACCACAGATGTCGTCTCTGGGCAGACGCTCTATCCATTAAACCACAGATGTCTTCTCTGGGTAGATGCTCTATCCAGTAAACCACAGAAGGGGTCTCTGGGCACAAACTCTATCCACCAGACCACAGATGTCGTCTCTGGGTAGATGCTCTATCCAGTAAACCACAGAAGCGGTCTCTGGGCACAAACTTTATCCACCAGACCACAGTTGTCGTCTCTGGGCAGACGCTCTATCCACCAGACCACAGATGTCGTCTCTGGGCAGACGCTCTATCAACCAGACCACAGATGTCGTCTCTGGGCAGACGCTCTATCCATTAAACCACAGAAGCGGTCTCTGGGCACACACTCTATCCACCAGACCACAGATGTCGTCTCTGGGCAGACGCTCTATCCACCAGACCACAGATGTCGTCTCTGGGCAGACGCTCTATCCACCAGACCACAGATGTCGTCTCTGGGTAGATGCTCTATCCACCAGACCACAGATGTCGTCTCTGGGTAGATGCTCTATCCACCAGACCACAGATGTTGTCTCTGGGCAGATGCTCTATCCACCAGACCACAGATGTCGTCTCTGGGCAGACGCTCTATCCACCAGACCACAGATGTCGTCTCTGGGCAGACGCTCTATCCACCAGACCACAGATGTCGTCTCTGGGTAGACGCTCTATCCACCAGACCACAGATGTCGTCTCTGGGCAGACGCTCTATCCACCAGACCACAGATGTCGTCTCTGGGCAGACGCTCTATCCACCAGACCACAGATGTCGTCTCTGGGTAGACGCTCTATCCACCAGACCACAGATGTCGTCTCTGGGCAGATGCTCTATCCACCAGACCACAGAGGTCGTCTCTGGGCAGACGCTCTATCCACCAGACCACAGATGTCGTCTCTGGGCAGACGCTCTATCCACTAGACCACAGATGTCGTCTCTGGGTAGACGCTCTATCCACCAGACCACAGATGTCGTCTCTGGGCACACACTCTATCCACCAGACC